TGGAGCCCTTTCCCTATGATCAGATACCTTGCTCAGCCTTGGTGGGGGGAGGGAAGAGCCTTGGTCTTGCCTCAACTTGGTATGCAGGACTTTGTTGACTCCCCAAAAAAGGCCTTACCCTCTCTGAGTAGATGGGGGAAATGGGGAAGGGGAAAAAGGTGAACTAGGGTTGGTAAGCAAAATGAAAAAAAAAATCTTTTAATTAAAAAAAGAAAAAAGTGAACGCAATCCTTCTTTATACTTTTCAAGGTACGTTTAAGGAAGAGGTTTGCGTGTCCTTCTAACCATGCCTCCCCAAGGCCATAAAGATGCTGACAGTGTCACTCAGGACAGCTCTTACTTGCTTTATAACCCTGAGAAGTTCAAGCTCTGTAACTTTGCAGTTACCAGAGAAATGTGTGTGTGTGTGTGTGTGTGTGTCTGTGTGTCTGTGTGTGTCTGTGTGTGTGTCTGTGTGTGTATTATCTGGAAACTTTGCAGCGTGGGAGCTCAATAAAAAAAAAACTGGCACAAAGAGTATTGAGTGAGAGATTCTTTTCTCACCTCAGACCCTATCCTGCTGGTGCTAGGTTTTTCTGGACCCTGAGAGGGCGTTGAGACTGGCTGAACCTCAACAGCTTTCAATACTGTAGGAGCTTAGAAGACAAGAGCAGTGTAGACGATGGAGTCCTGACTTGTGAAGTCTCAGAGGGAAGCAAAAACACTACTGGGCCTTTTGTGTGGAGAAGCTGTAATGTCTGGTTAGCTGGAGCTGAAGAAATGGCTGGAATTAACAAAAGACTGGAACCACTGAAATAAAACCTTTCCTTTCCTGGGACAATGGATGCTGGTCACCTGGGGCTGAAGAATCAGCCTTGGAAACCAACATCAGTGAGGTGAAGCACTCTTGGAAGTGTTGCACACAGAAGGTACCTTCCTATTGGCAGACGAACTTAGTGGTCTAAAGTCACCAGGTGCTGATGGTTCTGGAGACGTGAAGGGCCATAGGGATAACTGCAGCAGGGCACTGTGAGCAGCCAGGAGAGGCCATTGGGAACCGTGCAGCCTTGGTGGCTGCTGAATCCCCAGGACTGAAGGAATCATGAAGAGAAGTGGAGGCTTGACACAGTGAAGAGAGCCCAGAAGATTGTGAATAATCCCAGACATGATCATTGAATTATTTAGACTGTTTTAGTGCGTGTGATTTTGCTGTACTCGAATTGTGACTGTGCCCTGGTTCTTCCCTCTTAAAGTAAAAAAGTATTTGGCTTCATTTTTATTTTATAGGAGCCCATAGTTGGTAGACTTTAATTTTTTCTTTTTTGTTGTTTCTTTGTTTTTTTTTTTTTCCTTTGAGTGTGTGCTAAAGGATTTTTATCTTGTTGAAAATAGATTCTTTTCTCACACAATATATCTTGATTATAATTTCACCTCCCTCTGCTCCTTCAAGTCACTCTCTAGCTCCCTTTCCATTCACTCATTCATTTCTACTCCCTTTTTCTTCTCTATTAAAAAAGAACAGGCCTCTAAAAGATAAAAACCAAAAATGGCAAATAAAATATAAGATGGAGCAAAAATTCTCATATTGAAGTTGGACACAGCATCCCAACAGTAGGAAAAGAGTCTCAAGAGCAGGCAGAAGAGTCGGAGACCAACTCTTTTTCATAGTCATGAGTCTCATAAAATGCTAAGCTAATAGATATCATATCTACCTAGAGGACCTGGTGTAGATCCATATAGGCCTTGTGCTTGCTGCTTCAGTCTCTGTGAGCTCAGATGTGCCTTGCTTAGTCAATTCAGAGAGCCATGTTAAGACTTTGAATCTTTAAAAGATTTTTTGGATTTTAAGAGACTTTGGATTTTTACAAAGACAAAATTTTTAATGTGTATGGATTGATAAAAACTGTGGAAATTTTAAGTTTTAATATGTTTTATATTTATGGTATTTATTAATGCTTTTTTGTGGTGAGACCACAAAAAAGAAAGAAGAGGTCTTAATTGTGGTTGCCTCTGTAAGATTGGACGTTTGATGAGACTGCAGAGCAGTTTTTTTTTTTAAATTAGTGATTGATGTGAGAGGGTCCAGCCCATGGTGGGTGGGGTCATGCCTTGACTGCTGGTCCTGAATTCTATAGGGAAGCAGACTGAGCAAGCCACGGGGAGCAATCATTAAGCAGCTGCCCTCCATGGCCTCTAATCAACTCCTGTCTCCAGGTTCCTGTCATGTTTGAGTTCCTGTCCTGACTTCCTTCAATGATGAAGAGGGATGTAGAATTGTAAGTCAACCCCATTTGACCCTAAGTTGCTTCGGTAATGGTGTTTCATTACAGCAATAGTAGCCCAAAGATACTTATATCTAAAGCTTAAAAGGTAATATCCACATGTAAAAGGAAGTATGTAATGTTTGTCTCTCTAGACCTTGGTAGCCTCATTCAGGCTGATTGCTTCCAGATCTACCATTTTCCTATAAACTTCATAACTTCATTTTTGTTAACAGATGAGTAATGTTCCAGTATTAAAGCACCATAAGCTCACTGTCCATTATTAATATGATGGACATTTTTGTTGTTTCCATTTCCTGGCTGCTGTGAATAGAGCAACAATGAACATGGAAGAACAAGAGTCGCCTTATTAAGAGGTATAGTCCTTTGGGCGCATGCGTAAGAGTGCTATACCTGAAAATGTAATGCATCTATCTACTTCCAGTTTTTTGAGGAAGCACTATACTGGTTTCTATGGTAGTTGTACCAGTTTGCACACCCACTAGAAGTGAACAAGTGTTCCCTTTCCCCACATCTTTGGCTGCATCTGCAGTCATGTGCTTATTATTTTATCTTGGCCATCACGACTGAGTTAAGATTTATTATCAAGGTAGTTTTAACCTGATTTCTCTGATGGCAAATGATATTGAACAATTATAATGTTTTTTCAGTTATTTGTGTTTCAGCTTTGAAAATTCTCTGTTTAATTCCATTTCCCATTTTTAGTTAGATTGTTTTCTCTCTGTTTAAACTTTTTAGTTATTTGTAGATTCTGGACATTAAGCCTCTCGGTGGTAGAGTTGGCCAAGGTTTTTGCCATTTTTTAGGCTGCTTCTTCACTGACATGATGATATTCTTTCCCATACAGAAGCTTCATTGCTACATGTGCGCCCATTTGTCCATTAGTGAGCTTAGTGCCTGTGCAGCTATGGTCTTACTCAGAAAGTTTTTTCCTGTGACACTGAGTTGAAGCATCTTCCCTGTTTATACTCTATCGTTTTCAGGGTATTGGGTCTTATGCTGAGGTTCTTGATCCACTTGGAGCTGAATTTTGTACAAGTTGAGAGGTAAGAAACTAGTTTCATTCTTCTATGTGTAACTCCAGTTTGACCAGAATGGTCTTTTCTCTAGTGCGTATTTCTACTTGTTTGCAATACAATAGGTGTGTATAAGGGCATGGACATGTGTCCAGGTCTTCAAATTGCCCTATTTATTACATTTCTCTGTCATTTCTTCTTAGGTGTGTTATTTAGAAATTGGTTAGTTATTTTCCATGCAATGTGATTTTTATAGATGTGCTACTGGTGTTAGAATTTTGCCATATAGCACACGTTATTCATTATTCAATAACTTCAGTTAGGCTTCTATTATTATTAGATCTTTCCCTTTAGATCAACCAAGGGTCAATCTTGATCACATTTCCTGTAATCTGAAGGATATACACCCTAGGAATGGAAGCTAATCTCACACATAAATTATTAGTAATATCAGGGGAGTATTTCATGGTTTCAAGTGTAGTCATATTAGCTAGCTAGATTCAGAAACTGCCAAGAATATTAGAAGAATTCTCTTTTGCAATCCTGTTTCTAAAGAACCACTTGCAACCAAACTAAGTATTGACATTCTCCAGTGCAATAGAATAGAGTGGTGATAGAGACATAGTTAGACATAACACTGTCAACATGATTGCAGAGGGTAAATACTATATTTGCAAACCTCTAATTAGAAATGGAGGCAAATATAATATTTAAAATTCAACATTTTCTATTATCTTGATGAGAAATAGGTTGTGAGCCTTGCTATGGAAAAGAGATATGAGATAAAATGTGATTTTAAAAGACTGAAATAGTGCTGCAAATAAGTGCCACAAACAGGCTTATAAATAAGAGTAGAGTGTGTTCGTTCATACATGAACTCATGAAGGAACTATGGAACCTAATGGATGATGTTAGATGTATTTCCTACGCCAAGCTGTAGAATGTGATTTGCTGAAGGACTCTGGAGAGACACAGTGAATTTGGATTGGGGCCAAGGGCCAATTATCTTCAGGTGCATGCTCTATAGTTCTTGGGTGCTGAAGGAGGAAATTAGAAATGTTGGAAATAAAAAGAATTCAGAAATTATGAAAGAGTTGAAGACATTGGGAACAGGAGGTATAATGTTGGGAAAGCTATAGTTACAGACTTTGAGGACCATTGGGTGAGAGGGGGAAGATGATGTAGAACACATTCTTGGCTCATAGAACAGGAAGCTACTGAGAACCTATCATAGGTATAGCGCCTAAGGGTAAAACCATGAGTCAAATTGATGGAACTCCATAGGTTAAGCAATGAAACATGGGGTAACCAAAGATGAACTTCTATGTAAGGCTATTTAAACCACACAGAAGCATTTGTAGACAGTGACAAGGATTTCAGCTGTGTGTATACTGACTTTGAAGTTACTGCGATTCATTGGGACAAAAATGCCACAAAAGCACTATGGGTTTATAGGCCTGGGTATTGAGAAATGCTCTCTAGGAACATAGATTTGAACTAGGTTAGAGTCAGGACAGTTTCAACCAAATCAGAAGTCACAGACGATAATAAATAAAATTCAGAATACACATGGATTCTTGGAAATGGGGAATGACAATTATCAGGTTGAGATGTATAAAAGATCAACCACTCCAAATATCAGAGAAGCCAGGAAGCCAGGTGTGAAGAATGTACAAGAGCCATCTCGGGATGTTCATCAGATTTGTCATTGTGTAGAGAATACCTGCTGTGGAGGGGAGGGCACAGCCGTGTCTCCAGCACTGTCAGCAGAGCATGGTGCTTGTAGGTGACAGAGAAGTAGAGCACAGGCAGGTCCTGAGTGAGGGTGCTTCACTCAACTCTCATCCTCAAGATGAGGGAAGAGTGATCCACTTCACTTGATCCAAATCTGCGGGGTGAAACTTTCTAGATAGGAAACAAAAGTAAATGAAATAAATGTCATTTCCCAATAATGTGCTACAGACAACAAGGGACAAGAGGCTGCCATGAATAAAATACATTCACTCCTTCCCTTTCTGAGAGCAGAGAATTTTGAGATGATCGACTTTGGAAACCAGACTTTGAAGTGGTAAAATGTCAACAGACACAGTGGTGAAACAGATACTCTCCACTATGATGTTGAGTCCTAACCAGACAATGGGGACAGAGTTTGTGCTGGAAGGGTTCTCAGAGAACCCTGGTCTAAAACTTCTCCTGATAATCTGCTTCCTGTCACTCTACACATTGGCTCTCATAGGCAACATTGTCATCATTGCTTTGGTCACTTCTAGCACTGGACTCCACAGTCCCATGTACTTTTTCCTATGCAATTTAGCCACCATGGATATTGTCTGCACCTCCTCTGTGTTGCCCAAAGCACTGCTTGGCCTAGTGTCTGAGGAAAACACCATCTCCTTCAAGGGGTGCATGGCCCAGCTCTTCTTCCTTCTGTGGTCCTTGTCTTCTGAGCTGCTGCTGCTCACGGTCATGGCCTACGACCGCTATGTGGCCATCTGCCATCCCCTGCACTACAGCTCTAGGATGAGCCCACAGCTGTGTGGGGTACTGGCCATGGCTGTGTGGTCCATCTGTGCTCTGAATGCATCTGTCCACACTGGTCTAATGACACGGCTGTCATTCTGTGGCCCCAGCGTCATCACTCACTTCTTCTGTGAGATCCCTCCACTTCTCCTCCTCTCCTGCAGCTCCACATATGTGAATAGCATCATGACTCTTATAGCAGATGCCTTTTATGGAGGCATCAACTTCTTCCTCACCTTGCTCTCCTATGGCTGCATCATCGCCAGCATCCTGCGCATGCGTTCTGCTGAGGGCAAGAGGAAGGCCTTCTCTACCTGCTCCTCCCACCTCATCGTGGTCTGTGTGTACTACTCCTCTGTGTTCTGTGCCTACATCAGTCCTGCTTCCAGCTACAGCCCAGAGAGAAGCAAAGTGACCTCAGTGCTGTACTCGGTCCTCAGCCCAACCCTGAACCCCCTCATCTATACACTGAGGAACAAGGATGTCAAGCTGGCCCTGGGGAGGCTCTTGCCCTCTTTCTCATATTAAGTGGAGATGTGCAGGCTGTTCTCCTGGCCTGGGCTGTTTCTCAACATGCTCTTCCAGTAACAGCATCATGGAACAGGAGTGGGCCTGTTTCTGTTTTAGAAAAATATTCTGTGGTGCAAACATTGTACAATTCTACTTACTGTAACCTCAAAAACAACAAAATTCTTAGAGACAATGTAAACAAAACACCCAAGCTTTCTTTACCGATTAAAGTTTACCTAAATGGAGATTCCATTTTCCTAGACTGGAAGATTTCCGAGGGTGACAATGGTGGCAGTCACGAAACAAAGCCTTTTAATCCATTGTCATCCTGCAAACATCACAGGGCTTTGTTCAGAACTACAGCTAAGAATCTAAACTTCATAAGGAAACCTGAGGGACAAGCAACGCCACAGTGTCTTGAGAAGACCAAAGTTGAGTGGCTCGGGTCCTCCATTTCACAGCTTCTCCCTGAGCTGTGGGAGTGAAAGGTGGGATGGAGAAAGAGGGAGTCAATCTGTGGAGCACAGATTAAGTTTCAAAAATGAACTCACATGTGTGAGCCAGCTTGCTTACGACAGTGATGGCAACTGAACTCCTGGTAAAGATCAATTATTTCCCACAATGTGTCTGGGGAAACTAGAAAAATGTATAAATTCAAAGAGTAGAATGAAATTCTTTCTCTACACTATAAATGCAAGCCAAAAAAAATAGATCATAGATAAAAATGCTAGGGTAAAACTTTTTTCCATACAACATATTTTCATCATATTCTCTCCCCTTCTACAACTCTCAGATCCTACCTACGTACTTACCTACACATGAAACAACATATCTCTCTTAAACAAAATGCAAACACGCAAAACAAATCTAAGTCAATAAGTCAAAAATACCAAAGTAAAAAGCACACGCCAAAAAAAAAATGTCTTTTTTGTGTTGATCAATGACTCCTTGCTAAAACCCTCTGAGAACAAGAATGAGGAGGCAGAAGAAAGGAAGAAGGGGGAGTAGCTCTGTAGCTACTGCTAAGACGCTGACTGAGAGACAGCTCAGCTGAGAAAGGGCAACATCTGCAGCAACTGCTGCTGAGCGATGCTGTGTTCTTTTCAGACTAAACACATCCTTCATCAGCTTACTTCCTTATTCTTAAATGCTGTACCACACCAGGGCTTGTGATGTAAATCAAGTATCTTGTATTAATTAGTTCTTCATCCTTGTAACCAAAATACTTTTTCAAAACATTTGTTCTGTCTTATGTTTTCAAAAGACTCAGTCCATGGGCACTTGGCTCTTTGCTTTGGGCTTTTGTGAAGCAGGGATTTATGGCAGTATGGACAGTGGGAGTTAACTGTCTTTCTATCTATCATATTAGTAGAACACCTGTGCTTAATTGGCTTTCTCCTTTCTCTTTAGCCAAGGCTTTCTAGTTTCCAGTCCCTGGGATGGTGCTGCCCACATAGAGAGCAGATTCCCTGCTTCAGTGAATCCTTTCTGAAAACACTCTCACCTTCATGGACAGAAATGTCCCTCATTGAGCTCCTAGTTCAGTGGTTCTCAACCTATGGGTCATGACCCTTTCGAGGGTTGAGTGACCCTTTTGCTGGGGTCACCTAAGACCATCAACAATATCAGATACTAAATTATGGTTCATAAGAGTAGCTATGAAGTAGGAATAAAAATAATTTTATGATGGTGGGGGTCATCACAACATGAAGAACAAATATTAAAGGGTTGCAGTATTAGGAAGGTTGAGAACCACTGTCCTAGGTAATTCTGGATTCAGTTATGGTGACAATAAAAAGCAATATCTTGGAATCACTGGCTTGGGTCTATTTTGCCTGTTGATTTCTTTGACACTATTTGCTTCATCTTTTAGCCATGTTTTGTGCCATTTCTCCTATTATTAATTTCACGTCTCTTATTTAAGCTACAGAACAAATGATAATCACCCAAATACAAGCATACAAATGGTCACAAACATACATGCATGCATATATCTCATAAATACATTATTTGGGAATTCTTATTATGGTGGAACATGATTTATATCAAGTTAACATTACCTACAACATACAACACAAAACAGTAATGACCTTCCAGGGAAAGTCAGGTCACACATAGCAAACCAGGTCAGAACTGTGACTAAGCAAACCCCTTATCTGGCACTATGTCCAGGAAAGGGCTTCTGTGCTGATGGCTGTCTCTGGGCTCTGTGTGTTGGATCCAGGGAGGTTCATTCTGTAGGCATCAGTGGTTGTCAAGCCCAGTCTCCTATTTTTCTATAATGGATATTCTTCCTTCAAGCTGGAATATAAACCATGCTTCAAGAATTTTATGAAATAATAGGGAAAAAGTAAAGAATCAAAGTAGGGCCATAAGAGTCTACAGGAGCCATGGGCTAAGAGCAGAAATACCTCATCCCTGGTAAGGACAACATGCAGAGGCTATTAAGATAGAAGTTTGAGGAATTTAATTATGTCTCATTAAAGAACTTGCATTCTAGATTTAATTAGCAGTGAGGTTGTTTAGTTCAGTGAGTCACAGAAGTAGCTTATTAAGAGCTCTGGACTTATAGTCAAGCACATTTAAATGTATTGGGTATGTGAAAATTCATAAGTTAATCAAAAAAATTTTAAAGATAGACAAATTTAGTAGAAAATGAGATTTTTCCTCTTACATAGACTTGACAGGTGGCTTGAGGTGATGTCTTAGCTTCTGCAATCAATAGTCAAGGGATGCATAAATGAAGTCTCTTTCTGATGGTTCCAGAGTTTCTCTCTAATCTTTTTTATTTTTTGGTTTTTGGTTTTTGGCTTTTGGAGACAAGGTTTCTCTGTAGCTTTGGAGCCTGTTCTGGAACTAGCTCTTGTAGACCAGGCTGGCCTTGAACTAACAGAAATCCACCCCCCTCTGCCTCCTGAGTGCTGGGATTAAAGGCGTGCACCACCACTGCCCAGCTCTAATCTTACAGACTACAAGGGGAATATAGTTTTATGAGGGATGTCTTGAATTTATCATTTCTGAGACTGTAAATGAGGGGGTTGAAATATGGGGTCACTGTGGTATACAGAATGGTTATGGATTTGTCCAGGAGCCCAGTAGATCACACTGTGGGCTGGATATAGGTGTGGAACACTGTGGAGTAATACAGGGTGACCAGCAACAGGTGGGCAGAGCAGAGAGAGAAGGCATGTTTCTTGCCCTCAGCTGAGAAGATGTGCAGGATGCTGGTGAAACCATGGACATCAGTAAGAAATTTAGGTCACTGAGGAACATGTCTGACTTTCATGACATTGTTGATGAAGGTAGGACTGAAGGGAGGCAACAATATCAATGGGATCTCTCAGAATTGTGAGCTCATACTGGAGTCACAGATGGACAGTAGCAAAATGAAGCAGATAAGCGACAAATAGTTGAGAGCCCCCAGATCCACACAAAAGTTACCAGGTCTATCAATCAATGAGGGTGCTGTAGTGCAAAGATCAGCAAATGACTAGGCAGTGGTTGGAAGCCATGGTAGAGAAGAGGAGCAGCTCAGTACTCAGGATCCAGGTAAAGACAAATATGTGGGTAAGGCAACCCCTGAAAGAAATGATGTTCTTGGCTATCAGGCTCTGCAGGACCTAGGGCGAGATCATTGCCCTGTAGATCACATCCAGCTGGGCAGGGTTAATCACAAAGAAGTAGAAGTTAGTCTGCAGGTTGGGGCTGTAGTAAATGGTCATGGCTTTGGGTCATTGCCAACCACAGCCACCATAAACAGTACAGAAAAGGCAGGATAGGGTGGCCTAGAACCAGAGTTAATCCAGAAAAATTTTGTAGGATCAGCACATTACATTGAGTCTTTTGGTAAGATTGCCATTTTTAATTCTTCCAAT